CCAGGATGGATGTTTCCCTGCATCACTTCCCAGGGAGCTTTGCCAATGGCCAAATTGGAGGAGCCCCCCCCCCCCAGGTCCTCCTGTCAGAATGGAGAATTCGGGGGACGAAAGAAAGCCTTCCTTTCACCCGGCAGAAGCTTCCTAGTGGAGCCACTGCGGGACCTCCAGGTCCTTGGACCCAACGCAGAGCCAGCCCATTTCTTTAACGCTGAATGCAAAAAACGAACGATTCTTTACATCAAAGATGCAATCCCAGTGGAACAAATCTACACAGATGACGATGGAAGAATCTTGATGGTGGAAATTATGGACAATGATAAGAAAATGCTCCTAATAGCAAATCTACGGGCCTAACGATAAACAAGATGAATTTTACAGAAAACTACACAGGAAAATAATAGATTTGGATTACTCAGATATTTGCATGATGGGAGACTTCAGTGGAATTGTAGATAAGAACATGGACTGTAACTCACAAAAAACCAAAAAGTTAAATAGAAAGATACTCCCTAAATCCTTTTTTAAAAGGAGTCGGAAACGACTGGCACACAAGGGAGGAGAACCTTTACCTAAAAATGCACTGCAGAGAGTGGAGAATGGCTGCTACTTCAACACTGGAGCTTTTTAAGGAGAGACGGGACTCCCATTTGTCTGAAACGGTCTGGTGTCTCCTCCTTTTGAGTAGGGGGTTGGGCTAGAATGGGGGTCCCCAGTCCCTGGGCTGCAGCACAAGCCAGCGAGGCCCCATCCGTGTCATGCAGGCAGCCCGTGAAACGGGCCCCCTCCGGTCCACGGGGAAAACTCTCCACGGAGCTGGTCCCCTGTGCCCAAAAGATTTGGGGTGGGTGGACTAGGGGATCTCCAAGACCCCTCCCAACTCCGTGATTGAGAGGCCCCGGGGCCCAGCTGCTGAGCCAGGAGGCAGTGACGGAACGGAGGCTCTCCCCAACTCTGCACCGACAGACGAAAGAGGGAAGCAGAGCTGGCATTATAGGGAGTTCCCATTTAGTGACCGTTTGTAGTTATGATGTGAAGAAAAAAGTAATTTTGCAGCCAGTCCTCATAGTTACGACCTGTAAAGATCCGTAAAGCAAAGGAAAGCTGAAGTCAGGCCATAAACAGCCACAGTTTCACTTAGTGACTGCTTTGCTTAATGGCTGAGTTGCAGGTCCCAGTTGTGGTCCCTAAACAAGGACTGCGTGTAGTCTCCCTTGGAGGTGACCCAGATGCCCTGAATGCCCCAGAGGCCAGGCCAAGAAGGGCCGGAAGCCTCTCTGGATAGTCGTGGGAGTGAGGACCCTGGTTGTTGGGAGCCCCATGCAAATCATGGGAGCCGAGGTGGCACAGTGGTTAGAGTGCTGGACGGCAGGCCACTTCAGCTGACTGCAGTTCGGCTGTTCAAATCTCACCGGCTCAAGGTTGACTCAGCCTT